TGTGGACTCTTCTGATATGCATTCTCAACTGATGCCACTGCCTCAGAAAATCCAATTCCTAACTTTTTCTTAGTCCCACTTTCATCCCCTAAAAACCAACTTCTCCTCACTCAAACCCAAACTGCTGAATGCCCCCAAACAAATACGATACGAGCCAGCAAAAGCAAACCAACAGAAGTACACCCCCTTGCCTCCCAGGTACGTAGGTGAGGTTGCTCTGGACTTGCCGGGCGTGGTCAAGCAGAGTACCCCCCTGACCCCGGTCCTGCTCCTCTACACCAAGGAAGGTGACCTAGCCGAGAGGATGTTCCAGGAGTACGCTGCCAAGAAGCAGTGCAAGGCAGTAGTGGTGGCATTGAGTAACTCGGAGCAGAACGAAGAGAGGTCCATGAGGAGGTCCATACAGACTGCCATGCAGGAGGTAAGGGCGACACAGATGGTGACAAACACCCTCATACATCCTTACACATATGCCCACCTGCAAATCTGTATACACTTGCATTGGAATTGAATCTAAGTGACAGGTAGGACTCTCGGTACAGACAGTCATGCCAGAAGCAGTGATGATGTAATTTGTGACAGACACCCACATACAACCCCTCACATGTGCCCCCAAAGTGTTGTAGGCCATGTTAAAGATTGCAGTTATTTTGGCATAGACATGGACACACGCCATCATGCACACTCTCACACATCATAAGCCAAGTGATGTGGTATTGCAAGTTTGCTCAAGCCCTCGACGTTTTCATGCAATTCTAAAATGGAGTGAAACATCCATTTGATTTTCTGATTTCCAAAAGTGTTCCTTTATGACTTTGATGAAAAAAAAAATTTACATTTGGCCCAGTTATCCATTTCGGAGGCGTGGAGCCCTGACTCGTCAGCTGTTCATCTGTGCATGTTATTACAGGGTCACTGGGTGCTGTTGCAGAATGCCCACAATTCCACCCACGTCCTGAACACCTTGGAGACCGTCCTCAAGGAGAGCAGCCATAAGCACCAGATCGGTGACACCAACTTCCGTCTCTGGATCTCGGCCAAGATGACCCCCACCATTCCCGTCCGGCTGCTGCAGTTTGCCATCAAAGTAGTCGTTGATTCACCACGGGTGAGTTTGATTTCTTGTCTTTTTTCCTGACCGGAGCCAGCGTTGTAGTCCAAAACTTTGCAAGTCCTCGCAGTAACTACACAAGAACATCTTAAGGAAATCCAAGATGTATCAACAGAGTACCCTCCGGTTCTTTTCAGAACCACATCTACTAATGAAGAGATTGTCCTTGAGACTTTGGCCTGAAAATAAGAGCTGAACATTGTCAAATACTGATCAACAGTGGCTTCGATAACCCACACCCCACAGCCTCAGCAAGAAAAGTCACAAGTGAAATGCTAAATTGCGTTGTAAGATTATTTGTGGCATAGTTCCAACTGCTCATCTGACTCAACCCGGCCTGCTAACCCTGGCAAGCCGAATATGGTGAGATGTCTGTTGTAGTAAGAAGGAGGTCTTGGGTTAGACTCCCGACCGAGCAAGTTTAGGATTTTTATCGCAAGCCTTTGAACAGCACTGAGCTAGGTTAGAATAAGCATGACTGTATCCTCAGCAAGGCCTATACATTTCATTTTTCTAACAAACACTGTGATCTCTCCTCAGATCATGAAGGACAGCCTGCTGCGCTCCATGTCTCTGATTGATACCGACACCCTCAAGCTGAGCTCGCGCAGCGAATGGCCCCCGCTGCTCCACAACCTTGCCATGCTTCACGCTACCATCCGCCTGCGAGGACGCTTCAACCGTGCCGGCTGGAACCACCCGCACACCATGGACTTTGGTTTCAACGAGATTAGCGTACGTTCTGAAACTGTCATCGCAGCTTTCAAACTGTAATGCGTTGCAGTGGCAAAAAGTTTGAAACATTTCTCAAACTTCTTACAGAAAAAAGTTGTGATTCCATGAATGTGATCCAACATACTAAAATGAGTTGTGCATTGCCAGAACCATGTTTGAGTTTAGGGGTTTTTGATAGAACGTCACACAATGTAAATCTGTAGGAACCTTCAACCTTTTCACCCACATCAAGGGCACATTGGTCAGGACGTGAGTGATACATCAAAACAGAGAGCTTAGTACTCTCTTTCTAATGCAAACAAGACACAGAAATGCTTCAAAATGGCCCCTGGACTGATTTTGTAGGATTAGGTCACATATTATTGGGGCTTTGGCTATTTATTAACTGCCAGAGCTTATCTGGACAGTTTTTTGAGATTTCAACAATGCCCAAATTTTGCCAACATGTTACTGGCTTGAAAAAACAAAATTGGAGTTTGAGTTTTGTTTGTGGGGAGACATGGTTCCCTCGGGTCGTCTGTGAAGAAACAATATGCCTGACTGTGCGCCTCACTCACCCTCCCTTGCCGCCCCCTTGTCGCCCCTTCCAGGAGGCCATTCAGATCGCGGCCACCCCCTTCAAGGACTACACCACTTTGGACGGTGAGAGTCTCAAGGGAATCTCCTGGATCGGCCTGCGCTACGTCATCACCGAGCTGATCTATGGCAGCCACGTGACAGACGAGTATGACCAGGCCAACCTGTCGGCCATGGTGGACTACTGGGTGGGGCCCAACGCCGTCAAGCGGGAGTACGAAGCCACCAAATGTAAGCTGGCAGAATCTCACAGAAAAAGAAGTGGACCTCGGTCTCTCCTTGTAGCAGATCTCTTGTGCCTCTGAAATTCCCCCTCAAGATTTTCTCTCTCATATTGAAAAAAAAGAACCCTGTTCCATTTGTTTGATGCATCTTTAAAGATCCAGTGAAGTAAATCTCTCAGTTCTGAAATTACGTGCAGTTTCGGACAGAATAGTAATAGGCAAAGTTATTAAAAGGGTAAACATAAATTAACTGCTTGACTTTATGTAGCAAAGTTTTGACTTGGTTTTCTTAGACTGAAATGGTTTCATGTGAATGTGAAATTCTGCCAATATTTTTCTTCAGTACGCTACAAGATCCCAGCCGCATTTTTCAGCAACAACGTCCGTCTGACAGCTATTATGCAGGCTCTAGAATCAATGACCAATCACAGTTTGGATGTGCCCGAAGCTTGTAACATCCACACGTCAACCGAGGTAGGTGCCTTCTACCAGCAATCAAGGACATATTCTACTCTTCAAAAGCCTGCTAGTAATTTTGCAAGTGGGCAGTATACAGTCCTTTGCAAAAGCTTAGGACCACCCATCGAAAATGCATTAACCTGAAGGAAAACCATACTTAAATCAATCAACTTATGTTTATTTCCAATGTGTAACCTTGGTGCCTTGGTAGAACATTTTTGACTACATTTCCATGATTTGACATGTTAACAGTCTAATATGCTGCCTTGCAGACAAAATGTCATACAAGACCTGCCTTTGCAAAAAATTTCATTCAAATGGGTATATAGCACTACACTGATGTCATGCACCACTGTAAAATCATGTTCGTTCAGTGAAACAGTGTAATGCAGGCCCAGTGACAAAAATACCAACAACATTAAAGGTGGTCTTCAAACTTTTGGAAATGACTGTATATGGAGTGAATTAGTGAATATGTGGGGAAGGATTAGTAGGTAAAAGGATTTGTAGGTAAAAGGATTTGTAGGTAAAAGGATTTGTATTTGTGGGAGATGAACTTCACTATTGTTTAGGTCAGACGATTTGTTTGAAGGTTCTGGGATTCTCTTCTGATAGTTGTGCAAGTTCTGTAAACGCTTGAAATTTGTTTTTTTTTGCAGAAAGGTAAACGGTGCGTAATGTGACACAATGAGATGAAATACTTGATTTTTGAATTGACTGTGACCATTTGAGATATTGTCAAGAGTATCATAGTTTATTACTGAAAATATTGGTGTTGAAACGGTTTGTTTTTAACCTCATTACTTGAATGCACGTCAAATCATCCCCCCCCAGGCTGATGCACCCCGCTAAACTCTAATAACGGCATGGCTTAGCTGCTAGAATTTCCTGTCAAGAAGCAAAAAAAGTCCATCGTCTGCAGGTTGCATACTTTCGGCATTGTAAAGCTACAGAATAATTGCTGTTGAGCCACTCGTCCTAAGATAAGCTCTGACTGCGTGTGATTTGCTCAGTATAGCCTGAGGGAGGGGGGGTGTGTCCAAATCAAGTGGCTGCGGCTAGGATTGACACACATGTCTATAGCAGTTGGCTGCAGCCGCAAGACCAGAAGCTTCCATAGCCACATGTGTTAATTCTAGCCACAGCCCGTAACTTTCAGACACAGCCTAAGGCTGCTTCCAAATCTGTTGTCTCGAGCTAGGTCTAGGTCTTCGCAGGGACACACTGACGATAGACATGGCTGCTAGCTAGTTCGTTTCAGCTTCATAACGCCCTCTGCAGCTTTCACACAAAGCCAACAGCCACTTAATTAACTTACCATTATCCCATCAGCAATAATTGTCTCTTATTTTCGCCGTAATTTCATTGCATTGTGTCTAAATAGGACGATGGCCGATTGATGGTAAGCCCATGAATAATGAGTACATGAATGTCATTGTGAAAGTGTGCGAATCGTTCTAACAGTGTGCTGTGAACTGACTAACTGTTTGACAAATACATTTTTGGCATGTTCTTTTCCTCCTCGTGACATTTTACATAATATTTTGCTCCTTGTCGCCCAAATTTTTGCATTGCTTATTTTGCAATGGTCCGTTTAACCCATTCAATATGTCTTGTTCTTCTTTTAGTCCTCTCCAACAAACCAGTGACACAAGAAATGAAACATTCCTCCTCCCCAAGGAAAAAACTACCCTTTTTGTGTTTTTTTGGTGAATTTTTGTGTTTGAATTTTTGATGAATCTTTAAACGTTTGCAGAGCCGAGCTCGGTCAAAATCAGCTGCAGAAATAGCTTGAAATCACACGTAGCTCAATGCATTTAGCTTAGATGTAAATTTTGAGTTGCATGTTGCGTGCTTCACACTGGTAGCATTTTTGCAAAGTGTATATTTTTTTCGACCTCGTGTCTTCTTTGTCAGTGCATGTCTGAACATCACTTCCTTTCATTTTCACTGTACCTAATACCTCCCACATCCTCTGACCTGTTTCCCACCCGATGTCTTGTCTTAATTATCAAAATAATTTCTTTCATAAGTACCAGATTGATGCACGTTTGTGTTTTCCAGAATGCCTTTTTAACTTCCAAGAGAGTCACCTGCGTGGCTTCTTATGTGTTTTGTCTGAGAACTACCAGGAAATAAAAATCAGAAAATTCTTCATCAGAAAGTTCGTTGAGATATCTTGTGGAAAGGAAAACAAACATGAGTCACAGGAACAAGAGCTTTGTTTGATTGCCTTTTGGGATTGGAGAGAAGCCCACTCAAACAGATGTGACTTAACCTCTGGAAGCCAACATTATTTGAGCTTATAAACACTTTTAAGTCATTCAGTATAATTTCACATCATAGAGCGTTTTCGAAACGTGTGGACTCGACTTAAAGTTTGGTTTCGCTGGTTCCAGCCATTTTGAAGTAGCGTTGGAAACCACATGTTTGAGCTCTGACTGGCGCCATCGCAACTGAAGTCTAAGCCAAATCCTCTCGTTTCAAAAACACTCACAGTAAAGGTGTTCCACAATCATACAGGCGGAAAAATACGAAACAAGAATACGATCGATCTAATCACTGGAATCTGTCGTCTCTGTTTATACTTCTCTCAGACCCAGCTTGGAGACGATCAGTATATCTACACGCGACTGAATGCCATTCTTGACTCCATGCCAGCATCCAGGACACTCAGCCATGTACTACAGCCCCGCCCTGCCACACCCTTCAAGGGTATGTGTATAAAGGGTGTGTCTCGCCGTAGAATAAAGTGCCGTGAATGGTCCTAGAGGAAACCATCTGTTTTCATTGGGAAGATCTCGGAGGAGGGTTGACCAAGTTGTCAATTTTGAGGAATTTTGCATCTGTGCATTGAGTACGGACAGTTTTAATTGGATCGTAATCGTGGTTCAGACTTCCATTCCTGGCTCTGTCATTAGCTAGTGTCAATGGAGTCACCATGTACCCTCAACATGGCTGACATGTGACATCGTATGTGTGAGTAATAGCATTCAACCTTATACTCTGTGTGTGAAGGGTCAGTCAGTGTGACTGTTAGTGCCTTGTACGCCAGTTATGTTTTGATTGGCGCATATTGCCAAATCTGATAACTTCTTCTACTTGTTTTCTCTCACAGGTCCGTCGGTTGCCAGTGTGAACGGGAGCACCATGTATCCCAACGTGGCCGCAATGGGCATATACGCCAGCGCCAGCATAGCGGCCGTGCACGGCAGGAAGGAACAGGAACTCTGGGAGATCTGCCACACTATGCTGAACAAGGTCCCCCGGGGTTGGAACAGGGTGAGCTATCGGATCCGTGCATGCATGGACAAGCGAGGGTGCTCTTTAAGGTCACCCACACTTGAGATTTTTCTTGGGATGGAGGTCAAGCAATTTTTCAGGAGGGTGTGAACAGAACGTTTCAAGAATGATTGAGTTTAAATGACGGTTTCGGTTTTCTTGATTTCCCAGCTTTCTTGAAGGGGGTAAGAAAAGATTAAACTTCCTTAGATATGCCACAGCTTTCCCGGCAAAATATAGCGAAATGGCATTTCTCTATGCTTTTCCTAAATATTCACTTTGGATGTTGGCACAGGAGTACGTAACTGAGCGGGTGCGTAAGACAGGTGGGGACACGCCCTTTAATCGCTTCATCCTACGAGAGATCGACCTCATGCTCAAGCTGCTAGTGGACATCAAAACATCGCTGCAGGTAAAACGAATAGAAACATTTTACAGTATGGCTGCTGAATGAGAGTTGGTGAAATGAAGAAGATTTAAGATGCTAAGAAGGGTCTTTTCTTGTTTTGAAACAGTTCAAAAGTTTATTACTTTGGTGGTGAATTGGACATTTGCACCTTCTGTGGTGTGTTTCTGGTGGGAAATGACGTGTTAAGGCGCCTTTCCATGTGCGCGTCAACACTTGCTTTGCGTATCTGTCAAAATCGCCTCCCGGGAGTGATTTTGGCGGCCATGCACATGTGTGTTATGTTAATGGAGTCAATTTTTGTGCCCATGAAAGAGAAACGCATGAACGCATTGTGTACGCAGTGCACTCTAAAAAAAGTACATATGGATAGACGCCTTTAACGTGTTCATCTTTTCTATTAGTGGAACCCACCTGTGATTTGATAAGCTACCCTTCCCCCCCTCACTTCCCTCTCTCAGATCCTGTTGCCAATCTAAAAAAAAAAGTATTGGAACAATATCTTGAAGGAACAAATTCAACTTTGTTCACACTCTCAGAAATTGAAGGCTCTAACAGAGAAGCCCACTGAAGTATTTGGTGACCAGATGTCGGAGACCCTGGTCTCCATAGCGGACGACCTCTACCACCATCGCATCCCAGCTCATTGGTGTGACCTGGCCGGGGACTCCATGCCACCAATCAACTGGCCACTGGGACAGTTCCTGAATGACCTATCCCTGCGCTGTCAACATCTGGAGCGGATTATCATACAGGTCAGTTAAACCGCCTCAACCGGTTCCATCCTCCAGTTGTCTTTAATTTCAACAGGTGGTAAGGCGTGTCAGACAGGTTAAGCAAGTCCACTTAAACCAGTTAAAGGTTAGTGGAGGTGGTATGGATTATCAGACATGCTTTGTAACTCTTGAAACCAGTTTAGTCTGAGAACTGTTGTTAACCATCTGATGTTGATGATCAAGTTAACTTTGTTAACGTGTTTAGTTATGGAAGCATCATTGGTTTCAGTATCTCTTGTGAAGTTTGCAGTTTAGGTGACCCATTCGAACCCATTTAATCTAGATGGGTCATTGGTTTCAGCTACAGGTGTGAGATATGAGGTACTTGCTGCCGGGTGGAATTTGAAGTCGCATGACGTAAAACCGGGAGATTTTCAAGATTTTCTGTTTTCAAAATTCTTTAAAAAATCACAGCTTCATTTACTAGACATTTACACCACGTGAATAATTGTCTGGTGACTAATCTGACAGACAACATCTATAAACACCCAAGTATTTCAGCCAGACCTGCCGCCTTGTAAAAAGAGCCCAGATTGTGCAGTGTTATGTTGCTCCCGAAACTGGCACAGTGCACTAGTGGCGTCTTGTCAAAGGGGGCCAGATTAGCGTACAGTGGTATGTATCGCTCATTGCTAGGGCTGGAGCGCTTTTGTCCCTGGTGGTAATCCACTCGTGCTGAATAATCTCTCAAAATACGGACGGATTTCCTCCGCTATTGACAACTGAAAAAAAATGTTAGCAATTCCCAGCAGCTCGTTCTTTTGTTCCGAGTACAGTCTTTTGTTACAAGGCCTAGCTCGTTTGTCTGGTTTCGGGCTCCCCAGTTTCGTGTATAAAGCCTATGTGCCCGAACCCGGGCTCCCGGCAGCATATGGTTAAACAAGGTTACTTAACCCATTTAAAGCAGTCTAACTGGAGACATATAATTGGTCTCATCACCTGTGAAGTATAATTGTGTGGCAGGTAATTTGAACAAGCTTCTCTTTGTAATATAAACCTCTCAAATTTTCCCCCTTTCAAGGGTCGGGATAAGTTCCCAGCCTACTGGCTAGGAGCCTTTTTCCATCCCAAGAGCCTCCTTGCCTTGCTGCGTCAAGACGCTATCCGTTCCTACGGCAACAGCACCAGCCAGGTGGAGCCGTTTGTCTTCCAGACAGAGATCACTGCCCGAGACAAAGATCACGTGAGTCATTAATCTAGCCCTTTCTGTACACCTTCTGCTTCCGTTCTTATTAGTTTAAGAAGCTTAGTTCCTGGTTGAACTTGTTTTGAGTTGAGTTGAACTCTTTTTAAGCCAAAGGTATAGGGAGCGGGTTGGAATTACTGACCACATTAGGCACAGATGCGGCAGTCATGCAATGGTTAGAATTTAATACTCGAACTGAAATTTCAAATTTGTTCCTCCCTCTTGTTAAGGTGCGAGACCCGCCCCAGGAGGGCATGTTTGTGTACGGCATCTACATCTGGGGTTGCACCTGGGAGAAGACCACGGGTGAGCTGCAGGACACACCCCCGCGACACGGCCCCACCCCTCTGCCCATCGTCCACGTCCTCTGCATGCCGCAGAGTGAGAAGCCCGCCCTCAGTGACCCCCAGAAGGCTGCCGAGACCTTCAACTGCCCTGTCTACCCAACGCGTATAAGCTCACGTGAGCCCGTCTTCACCATGGATGTCCGGCACGACAACGTGCCGGCCAGCAAGTGGGCGCTCCGGGGGATGGCGGCCACCATACGGCCCTATTAGGGTGGTCAGTTTCATCCCCTGACCACGGCAGACCAACCTGCAAGAAACGCCCATATTCTGCTGCTTTAACCCCTCTTTTCCCCGAACCACGAATTTACAAGTCAAAAATCTGACTTATGTCTTGCACATACGTACATGTATATTAATATTTTTTTCCTAAAATTGTCCACGTTAAAATTTAAATTCTTTCTCTGTGCCAGTAACCCCAAGCTTTTCAATGGTGATTTGTTTCAGAGATTTGCAAATCAATTGCAATAATATGGTTGTTGATTTTGTCATAAAGCTTACATGTAGCATGTTTATAATTTAAACTGTGGTTTGGAAAATAAATTGTCAATTGTTTTCAACTTTTGAATATTCTGTGTTTCCGGAAAAGACCCCCCTAAAAAAAAAAACACAAATAGCATTCAGTATTCCTTTCAGTGGAAAATGAATGAATGATTGACTAAAATTTGTTGTAAATAGTGTACAGAAAATAACTTTCCGTCCACTTTGCTGATTTTGGAATCTATTTATTTTCCTCAAAATGAATTGTTTTTAGATCACTGTTAGTAAATTTTGCATACAATTTTCCATTTCACTTCAGGTAGAAAATTCTTTCTAATGTTTTACTTTGTAAAGATTTACATGCAGGTCGGAAGAGACTCTTTTAGTTTTGATTGAAATCAATTACAAAACTTATTCGATGTTTGCTGTTCCGTCCAGCTCATTTTTACCGTATTATTGGATTTTACATTTGTTGTGTTTCAGAAGTTGAAACTTTGTGTAATTTAGTAAAGAAATGTTGGTTTAATTATAGATATCACTTGTTGGTTTATTTGTTCCTTGAAAAAAAAACACTTATTTTTGGAGCTTGAGCTTTTCCTGCCTTGTTTTACAGATCTAGTCATCATTTTGACTTGGTTCGAATGCCCTCTCTTGCTGTTGTACTAGTTCACCCTCGGCCGCATTAGTTTCCTACCCACTTTAATTAATGGTATGGCCTGCCTGAATGAAGGTGGGCGGGGACGGGAAAGGGGATTTCTCTAGGCGCGGCCCTTGTGATTCGAAACCGCCCACACGCCACCCCCTTTTTTTGTTTTTTTTTTTTTATTGATATTGGCTTTTGATCGAATATCCCTGTGGTCCGCTGTGGCAAGTCAATTTAAAGCATTTTTGTAAGCCAGTTGAAATTTGTTCAAAATCGCTGTTGTGAGAATTAAATAGAGGGCGCCCTTCTGATGAGAAATACGAGGCGGAAAAAAAAGCCGCCCACAGTGCTATAGCGTGAGGGGCCGGGGAGCGGCGAAGAGTCTGGTACCGGTCCAAATGTTTGCACAGCGATTCCAGTTCAGCAGTTGGGAGACGGTGACTCCACAAATATACATGTCGGAATCGAGAGTACCCGAATGGAACGAGTGTCATTCCATTGCAGGTAGGTTGCTTCATGTTTTCCCAAGGCTTTTCATCATATCATATTTGGTCAATTTCCTATGTTTTGATTCGTTCTAAGTCAATTCCGGTGTTTTTTGGTGGTAGTATGGATACCGCAAATTTTAGTCACTGCCAACATTACAACATAAACCCCATGCAACATGTGCAATCCCATGCGTGGACATCAATGGAAAAACACCGTCATTACGTCAGGGTAAGCCCCACTAGTGTGGCACGGACTCTCACTCCCGCTCCATCCTTGCCACACTAGTGGGGCTACGTCAGGGTCAGACCATACATTCCATAGATTCTGAAAATGCTTTGGCCTATCGTGGAGTAGGCCTACCCTAAATTCGCGCATACAAATATTCGCGCATTCAACTTTCTCTTTGTGAAACTCTTGATTGAAATTATGGACCAATTTCAATTTAGACCGGTAAACAGGGCCTGCTGACGAATACTCCTCCGTCGTAGACTGGGCCCTGTCCCGATTCATAGGGATTTCTTTCGAAAAGTTTTATCCGGGGTATCCAGGGGCATAACTAAACATCCGCTTGATTTTATGAGATGAACTTGCACCGGTATGTTCACTACTTACGGGGTAAACTATCCCCTAGGTTGCTTATTGCAGAAAACTCGCCTTTTCCTCGTTTGGACATGTTGGAGGAAAAACATGATGTTGCTTGGTTTTTTGCTGTTTTCCCACTCTGGACGAATTTGTCCCACTTGCACTAAACTGTTTCGCCCCTTTCATGTCAAGTCATAGAATGCTAGCTGCGCTACCAATGATTTGCCGTAATCAGTGTGTGACTAGACAGGGAACCAGCCAAGGGCATTGCATATTAACTGTGACTCAAAACAGCCGTGATCTTTCATGAGTACTTAGATCGACAGGTACTCTCGCAGATCTGAACGAGATCCGTAGGTGCTGAAGTCTGGTTGCAAACTAGACAGGCTCTCATACAACAGGGTACCATTACTTAACCATACAAAGGATTCTGTGTATTAATGTACATGTCAAGCCAAATTCGTCCGGGGAGGGAAAACTGCAAAAAAGGCAGCATTTTTTCCTCAAATGAGGAAAAGGTGAGTTTTCTACAATTAGCAACCTAGCGGATGGTTTACACCGTATTAGTGAACACACCGGTGCAATTTCAGCTCATAAAATCAAGCGAATGTTAACCCTTTGACGATAGGAATTTCTTCCCGAAAGCCGACTCCAAGAATTCCAGCCTCGCTTGGCCACGAAAGCCACCTGCCAAACCGCAAATTCTCGGTTTGTGGCCCTGCGTGCTCTGCATCCTTTGAATTACACGGTGAAAAGGCTGATTGTTCGGTGGCATGCGGCTCTACTCACCCTTCCACATTCCCGTTGCCTCTTTTCAAAGTAGGGACTATTGTGAAGCTGGTGATCATGATGCAAATTTGGTCTTTTCATTTCTGGGCTATGCACAAAGACCAATTACCATATATACAAGATCCAGGGTCTGCCTTCTTTCATCGTGTTCGCTCGAGCGTTGGCTGAGAATACTAGCTGAAAAGCGGGCTGAGGATCTCAATTTTTACGGCGTGTCTAGCCGCCTCCTGGCGCGAAGGAGTTAAGTTATGCCCCCGGATATCCCGGATAAACTTTTCGAAAGAAATCCTTATGAATCGGGACAGGGCCCAGTATACGACGGAGGAGTATGTTAGAATTATCGCCACATCGTCAGATCGTGCTGTTAGATTGAGCGATGCCGATAGTGCAGATTGACTGATCACGACCCAGTACCATCAAGTATACCTTGTAAAAACTCTGCCTGTCCTTTTCCAGCCAAGGTTAAAAACCTGCCTGTACCCTTTCTCAGGAAAAATCTTTGAAACTGACACCCCTCAGTGCTCCTTGAAGCTTTATTTCAATTGCACCCTCTGTCTTGAAAGGAAATGAGAGCACTTGTTCCTCAGTGTTAAAGATGTGTGTAAAGAATAAATGGGGCTTCGGAATTGTGAACAAACAAAAACTGCCGTCAAAATTTGTTTTTTGCCTGTCCTCAGGACAAAATACCGAAGTCCCTGGGAGTTACGTCAACTTCATCCAGTCAGCTACATGCAACTCTTCATAATCCCTCAGGGTTTGGCTTAAAAAGCATTCCTTTTGTGTTTGTTTTTGCATTTATTTCGTTAGTTATTTTCTGATGTGAGGCTCAAAGATTGAGGATTTTTCAATGCGCGTGAAGGAGCACCCCACATCAGCTGAAATGGCCAAGAAACGTAACAAAACCAAGCAGAATGACTACCACAACACGTCGGATGAAGAGATCTTGAGAGGTAGGTGCTTACTGAAGACAAACAGAGCTTCGACCGGGCCAAAGTTCTGTCAACTAAACCTCACACACTTGAAGTTCCAAAAGACAGGATTGAGTGAAAACAGCATCTCCTAATTGATTCACAGTGGAACAACTTATGCTGAAAAGCATGCTTTTCCATTTTGCCTCCCAGCAAAGATTTGTGCTCATATGGACAAGGCCGTCAACTTGTCAGGGATAAAGAAAGGGCTCAAGCAAGCCGGCGGGTCCTCCAAGTTGGGACAGTGTGTGGTGAGTTGAAACATCCCAGTGAATCCATTCACGACGTGCAATTTCAAAATACGGTACTGTCTTCAGTCTGTCCAAACCATGGCTAACTACAGAATTACTTTATTCACTTTTCTTGTCCTTTCTTTTATTCTGATGAGCAGTCCTGTGTAAATGACAAAGGGGCGTCGGACAAGCATTCAGCGGCTTGTAGTGAGGACAGTCTTGATCACCATGGCAACACCACCTGGCTATGTCTCTTCTGTGGAAACCAGGTGAAATCCATGCATTCAACTGAGATTCTCATTTTCATTTGGTATACACATGTATTTAAATATATTGAGGTATAACGTGACATTGAAACGTTCAGTGACGATTTCTTGATGAAACTGAGGGAACTATGTGTATTCTTTATGTTGATCTTCATTTGAACAGAGAAAATTGGCCGAAATGGGATTCAAGCCCATGACCTCTGGAATAATGTTCCAGAGGTCACTGGTTCACACTCTGTTTCTGCTAAGTAAAAAAGCCATCACTGACTATTCTGCATTGTACGAAATAAAAATCGGGCATGGAATTAAAAGTCATCTCTTGTATTTTCTGTCGGAGGGTTGCGGGCGCGGTTCCCAGCACCAGCATGCCCTCAAACACTATGAGACCCCTCGGAGCGCCAGCCACACCGTGTCGCTCTGCGTGGACACCATGGCGGTATGGTGCTACAAGTGCGATGAGAACATCTACCCGGAGGACAGCCGCAAGCTGCTTGAGTGTGTGGAATGGATCCGCAAGGAACTGGGCG